TAGAGGATAAGAAGCTGGAGGAGGGAGAGCTAGAGTATAAGAAGCTGGAGGAGAGAGAGCTAGAGGATAAGAAGCTGGAGGAGGGATAGATAGAGGATAAGAAGCTGGAGGAGGGAGAGCTAGAGGATAAGAAGCTAGAGGAGGCAGTGGGGGCTGGAGGATAGGAAGCTAAAGGAGGGTGAGAGAAAGAGTGAGGAGGGAGAGCTAGAGGATAAGAAGCTAGAGGAGGCAGTGGGGGGCTGGAGGATAGGAAGCTTAAGGAGGGTGAGAGAAAGAGTGAGGAGGGGGAACTGGGGATTGGAAGCTAAAGGAGAATCAACGCAAACTCTGGAGACTAAAACCTTTTTGAAAATTTCTCAAAGGAGTATTTTTTAGTAGTTTGTTGCACAGGTGGTCATTCAAATTCATTTACAGTCATACATACCATCAATAGATTCATCAAAGCTGCTAAATGAGAATTCTCTTTCCAGTTTTTCTGAAAAACATTGAAAGCAACACTACATTATCATTTGATTTTTCATGAGAAACATTTTATTTCTCTGCCTTTCTAATTTCAACTGTTCACCAGTCTTACTTTAAGCTTGGTTACTTCTTCACTACCTTTAATACACATTATTTGCATATTGCACAGTTCTTGTTTAGTAACTTACGAAGGAATTTTCTGAAGCTATTAAGAGTCCAGAAACATATAATTTGGTGCCTTTGGTTGCACTTTTTAATTTTTTTAGCAATCATGTCAGGCAACTATTTATTTCATTTCTTATCACCATTATAATTAGGGTTGTCAAAATGAACAAATTTTAGTACCATAAAACACATGTAATTTGCACACCTATGTAATTTCTGCAGATACGTTTTTGGTAAATTGCTGAAAATGCTAACAAAACAATCTACTTATCCATTTTGTGCACCAATTTTTCCCCTCAAAAACAATGTCCAGAATGCCAGGAAAATTGATCTATGACACGAATCTTTGAAACAATGATATCTACTTTCTCATGTCATTTATTTAGACACCTATTATTAACCTTGAGTAGCTTTTCACTCGAAAATTCTTCCGACTGAATTTAACAAACAAAAACAAAAAAATTGTATCACATGCACAATATCAATACATAAAGACAATATCTGACCTCCAATGTTAATACAAAACCACACTGGTGAGATATCATAACAACAGGAGGCTGCGGTGGCCAAGTGGTGAGATATCATAACAACAGAGGGCCAAGGTGGCCATGTGGTGAGATATCATAACAACAGGGGGCCGGGGTGGTCAAGTGGTGAGATATCATAACAACAGGGGGCTGAGGTGGCCAAGTGGGGAGATATTATAACAACAGGGGGCCGCTGTGGCCAACTGGTGAGATATCAAAACAACAGGGGCCCGCTGTGGCCAAGGGGTGAGATATCATAACAACAGGGGGCTGAGGTGGTCAAGGGGTGAGATATTATAACAACAGGGGGCCGCGGTGGCCAACTGGTGAGATATCAAAACAACAGGGGGCCGCGGTGGCCAACTGGTGAGATATCAAAACAAGGGGCCGCTGTGGCCAAGTTGTGAGATATCATAACAACAAGGGGCTGCTGTGGCCAAGTGGGGAGATATCATAACAACAGGGGGCCGGGGTGGTCAAGTGGTGAGATATCATAACAACAGGACGCTGCGGTGGCCAAGTGGTGAGATATAATAACAACAGGGGGCTGAGGTGGTCAAGTGGTGAGATATTATGACAACAGGGGGCCGCTGTGGACAACTGGTGAGATAACAAAACAACAGGGGGCCGCTGTGGCCAAGGGGGGAGATATCATAACAACAGGGGGCTGCGGTGGCCAAGTGGGGAGATATTATAACAACAGGGGGCCGCTGTGGCCAAGTGGTGATATATCATAACAACAGAGGGCCAAGGTGGCCATGTGGTGAGATATCATAACAACAGGGGGCCGCGGTGGCCAAGTGGTGAGATATCATAACAACAAGGGGCCGCTGTGGCCAAGTTGTGAGATATCATAACAACAAGGGGCTGCTGTGGCCAAGTGGTGAGATATCATAACAACAGGGGGCTGCGGTGGCCAAGTGGTGAGATATCATAACAACAGGGGGCCGCGGTGGCCAAGTGGTAAGATATCATAACAATAGGGGGCCGGGGTGGCCAAGTGGTGAGATATCATCACAACAAGGGGCCATGTGGCCAAGTGGTGAGATATCATAACAACAGGAGGCCACGGTGGCCAACTGCTGAGATATCATAACCGCAGGAGGCCACGGTGGCCAACTGGTGAGATATCATAACAACAGGAAAAATCAACAGTCATACATACCCTCAGTGCCTAGTTCGTAGTGGGTAAATGAAGACTGTCTCTCTACATTTTTAACAGCATCTGCACCTTTTCCTAAAAACAACATTACCAAGGTATATGTATTACAATTGGATCTTCTCCTTCAAGTCTATTTCATTTCCTTTCTTTATTTTTTTTCGTTTATTATTACTATCGCTTTGTATTTAGAAATAGAAAAAAAGAAACACTGTTACCAAATACAGGCAATGAAACAAGCTCCAAAGAGCTTTCCAGTGATGGAAGATACTGTGAATGTTGTAAAATACACACTATCAATGCAGTAATATATGGTAGATCTAGATCATCATCAGACAATTCTGCACCAGGGGACAAACACATGACTGCATGGGTATTAACCAAGGATTTACAATCAATGTGTTTGTGGTAAATGTGTTTTACTGTTATTGTATAGTACATACCTTTTGGTATCGTAGTGGCCATCTTTTTCTTCGACGCCATTCTTTCATGTACTCTCTATTTCCAATATCAGATGTTTTACAGAGTTTGATAATCCATTGCTATAATGCACAGGTTTACAGCTAGGCCGACTACAATAAACGAAGGCAGTAAACATCTCAAACATTGATTTCCAATTAAAAAATATATTTATGCAGGTATATAAATTTTAATCATTGTCTCTGTAAAGTGAGATCTAAAAGAACTAATTCATTCTTCAAATCAATTCATTCCAGCAACATTAGCATAATATACTGTATACCAGGAAATACTATCTACACTATATACTATATATACCAAGAAACACTATATATACTATATACTATATACATGTACCAGGAAACACTAGTATATACTATATACTATATACCAGGAAACACTATATTTATACTATATAGTGTTTCCTGGTATATAGTATATACATTTTTAGTATATATAGTGTTTCCTGGTATATAGTATATACTATATATAGTGTTTCCTGGTATATAGTATATATAGTGTTTCCTGGTATATACTATATATACTATATACTATATACCAGGAAACACTATATATACTATATACCAGGAAACACTATATATACTACAAATGTATATACTATATACCAGGAAACACTATATTTATACTATATACCAGGAAACACTATATATACTATATACTATATACAGGAAACACTATATATACTATATACCATATACCAGAAAACACTATATATACTATATACCAGGAAACACTATACTATATACCAGGAAACACTATATACACTATATACCATATACCAGGAAACACTATATAAACTATATACTATATACCAGGACCTTTCCGCTGCAGTTGGATATATGCCTTTTTCGCCCTCCATTATACGGGCAAATTTATCATTATAGCAAACATTTGTAAACAACATAGTGTACATGTTGATTAAGTGTGAAGGGCAAATTTAATTTGGGGGCAAAAATGGACTTAATGTCGAAGGGTGAACATTTGACAAGGCAAAAACTTCCTAGTATTCAGTACATACACACCAGTAATTATCTTTCAACACCAAAAAGAATGCTGTTTGCAGACACTGTGGTAAGTCTCAGAACTGAACTATAGATTGGCAGTCAGTGCAGATGGCCTAGTAGGTAGAACATCCATCTAGATTGTGGAGGGTCAAGCTTCAAATCTTGGTCTGGACAGTAACAGTTTTCCAGACTTGTTACAAACCATAGCCATTGATCAAATCTTGTGAAAAATATGTGTTTGGCAGGGAGATATCTGAGTCTCCCCAGGGTTACAAATATTGGTGTGTTTTGGGAGTCAAGAGTTAGCTAGTACAGGAATAAGATCTCCACTAGTACTGTCTGAAGATATAGCCCAGTTGCTAGAGCAATCACTTGGAGTTCGGAGATTCCAGAATTGAACCGTGTATCTTGTTGCATTTTTCCATCCTGTTACAATGTCCACCTAGAAAAGTTTTCTGGCTGTTTCAATAAATTCTGACTGAAGCAGTTTGATTTTTTTTCCTCTCTGTACTTTACGTTAGTTAAAACACTCTGATTATTATGAGTGTCTATAATCTGATGTAGCTGCTACGTTGGTGTATGTTCCATCAGTTAAATCTCTTGCCAAAAGGACCAGTGTATTTGGAAATTTTGTTCTTGCTTTGATCAAACCAGCAACTGTGATCCTAGTCAGTGATGACTCTCTTTCTTGTTGCATATGTATGACAGGAACAGGAGTCCTGCCCCAGTACCCTGAGGAATTTCTGACATCACATTGGCCGAGATGGTACATTAGAATGGCCTTCCCTCTTCACACACTGCTGATGAACGAAGACTGACACGTTCCATCAATATCACACTAGTGAAGGGCTGATGATCGATTATAATCTAGAACCTGTTTCTGTGTTACATTTGTTTGTGCCATGACCTTTTGCACGTCACTGTGCTTATACCGGAAGTTTTTTGGCATCATATGTCATTTTTGGGTAGTAAAAGTAAACATTTAATGAATGTCTGTGAGGATGCTGAATAAAATGAAAAGTAAATTAACCCTATTTTACTCAAAAACACATAGAAAAGTAGCTTTTCTATTAGTTTCATTGCTTTTTTTATTTGATTAGAAAACAACAGAAATACTCCTGGAAAGGGTAAAACAATTTATTATATCTATCTATAAACATTTCGTAATTTTCTGCTTAGCAAATTTGTGTGGCTGTCATGTGGTCTGGTTTGCCTATTTTAAAGGCAGCGCTAAAAAGCATGGTGTCTTTATATGTTTTTCTATGAATTTCCTTCTTTATAATTGATAGTATATCCTATGAATAAACACTCTATTGTGACTCCAAAATGTAGCAGGTGGAAACATCAAAATTATATCGCAAACATTTCCTTCTATCTTTTTGGACCTTAGTGGTAATCATAGATAGATGGGGACAGAAACTGGTAACATGTCATAATGGCATCGTTCAATGATGACAAAAGGATAGAATAAGATGTCATTGTAGAGTACATGACACTAGCCATTGCAAACTGACTTTCCAGTTAATATTAAGACTGATCATTAATTATTAATCATGTCAAGCACATTTTGTTTAATTTTGCTCTTTTCGTTTAAATTTAGTCAAATATCACCATAAGGACTCAGAAATTGGTCACCCGAAAGTTGATGTTATATTTACTGCCTATTCCCTGTCTAATTTTATACATTACATGCAGGCCTACATATCACCTGGAATTTCCATATAACTGAATGACCTATGCCATGCCTCAATATTGGTATAAATCGATGTCTTCTTTATTGTTATACCCACAATCTATACCGGATCAACACCTGGCTACAAAATTTTTAGAATGCACAAGAAATGAATTCCTTTATCAACATGTTACCAAACCTACTAGAATTAGAGAAGGTAATCAACCCACCACCTTAGATCTTGTTTTTACCAATGAGGAGGGAATGCTAGTTGAAATAAACTATGAACTCGGACTTGGACTAAGCGATCATCTCTCTCTGAACTACGAGCTCTGCCTATACACTGAAAATGTTACCAGCAAAGTAGAGAGATTGAATTACCATAAAGGCGATTACACAAAGATCAGAGAGAAAATCAATGATGTCAACTGGCCAGATCTGCTGTCTGTCAAAAATGTAGATGAGTCATGGAAGGTCCTTGCAGAGACTATATCAAATCATTAAAGAACACATACCAGTGAGCAAGACCAAAAACGACAAGTTTACCCTTAAAACACCACTTGACAGGGAGGCAGTACATGCTATCAGGCACAAGAAAACCAGATGGAAAAAGTACCTTCATTGTAAAGACGATAAGAACTGGAATGAATACAAAAAAGCTAGAAACCAAGCTCTGAAACAAATTAGAACATCTAAATACAACTATGAAAGGAGCATGGCCATGGACATCAAATCAAATAGCAAGACATTCTGGAAATACATTAGGTCGAAGACCAAGACTAAAAGTACAATAGGAAATATCAAAGACGCCAATGGTGACCTGACATCTAACAACAAAGACTAAGCTGAGATCATGAACAACTACTTCACAAGTGTTTTCACTGTCGAAACAAATGAACCACTGCCAGTGTTCGATAGAAGAAACTATCAGGAACCAATCAACTTTATTGACATCACGAAAGACAAAATACTATCGGCAATAAAGCTACTAAATCCAAACAAGTCAGGTGGACCCGACCTATTCCATCCTAAACTACTATTAACTGCCATTGTGACCCCCATACATAAATCCGGATCCAAAACAAGCCCAGAAAATTATAGACCAATCAGCTTAACATCGGTTCTGGAAAAACTGATGCAAAGAATCATCAAGGATGCCATTGTGGATCATATGGACACCAACAATCTTTTCTCCAAAAGTCAACATTGTTTTACCAAGGGAAAATCTTGTGTTACCCAGCTACTACAGGTCCTTGAAGATTGGTCAGAACAAGTAAATAATGGAACCCAGATAGATGTTATATACCTCGATTTTAGCAAGGCATTTGACACTGTCCCTCACAAACGGCTACTGTTTAAATTAGAACAATATGGGATCAAGGGAAAGCTACTCCAATGGATAGAAAATTTTCTAAGCGGAATGACACAGAAGGTAGTGATCAATGGTGAAATATCAAATACCAGGAATGTAACCAGCGGTGCCCACAAGGGAGTGTCCTGGGACCTCTTTTATTCCTGATATTTGTCAACGATATGCCGGAAGTCGTACAATCCATAATTATACTATTTGCTAATGACACAAAATTATACTCTGGAATTTCGAACGACGAAGATAGGAATACTCTACAGGAAGATGTCCACAGATTATGTGACTGGACAAAAGTTTGGAACATGAAACTAAATGGGAAAAAATGTAAACACATGTCAGTAGGAAATCAAAACATAGACTCGTCTTATACTACAAAAAATGGACATATCGAAGTAACCATTGACAAAGTGATTAAACAAAAGGATTTGGGAGTTACATTTGACTATAAACTAAAATTTACTGACCATGTCAACGAATGTGTCTCTAAAGCCAACAGAATCCTCGGACTAATATTTCTGTCATTTACATTCATAAACAAAAACATGTTTATTCAATTGTATAAAAGTTTATTGCGGCCACACCTGGAATATGCCACCTGCATATGGTCTCCAATGCTCAAAAAAGATCAAATAGCCATTGAAAATGTCCAACGCAGGGCAACAAGACGCCTACCGTTCCTAAAAGGAAAATCATACAGTGAGAGACTTTGTATGTTGGGCCAACCCCAGTCTAGAGTATCGACGATTGAGAGATGTCATACAAATTTACAAAATCATATATGACATTGACATTCTGGATAAGGACAAAATTATTAAAATGGCAACATTGGCTACAACAAGAGGAAACTCCAAAAAAAGAGAAGGATGAGGCTCAATGTAAAGAGGAACATGTACAGCAGTAGGGTCGTGGACGTGTGGAACTCTCTACCAAATACAGTTGTAGAGGCCCCCTCCTTAAATAGTTTTAAAGCTCGGTTAAACAATCACTGGCGTCATCACCACCAAAAATTTGTACCAACCTGTTACCCACAACCAAACGTGATTAGAGAACAGTATATAGATGCGTCTCAAGAAGCTGGATCAGCTTACGTCGACACTACATGAAAACTACATGAAAACTATGAGACTTATGATAAAGTACATGTGAAGGATGTGCAAGATCTACCGTATTATAATTCAATGGCAAAGCTGATATAATAGAAATAACATTACTGTACAGTACTGTAGAGTGGGAACGAACCGTGATATAATAGGTCCTTAATGGATATGCTTTATCTCTTATACGTGAACCACGAGTAAACCTGCAATACACGAAATATTTTGCCGATGGAAATAATGCTTACTTAATGAAAATATGTGTCAAATCACCTATTTAAGTAGCATACAGGTACCTGCTGTCCACTTGTTACTAAGACGCCATGATGTAAATAGAGTTAAAAGTAACCTTTATCAAAAAGACGCTTCTAAATTCCCTTTGAACTGCCTTTGATTACAACCATTGTTACTGTCCCGATTATATTTCATTCGGAGCACGTCGACTGTTTTCAAAAGAAAGCATGAATTAGTCATTCGGATCCAGATCAGATGGCGGCAACAAACATTTTCTGCATTAGTTGCAGAATGTTCTGTGACTGTTAGGTGTACTATCCAAGTCATTCACGATGTCAGCAAGAAAGAGTCTCACCAACCTGAAACCTCTTTCACATAGAACTAATGAATCTAATGCAAATGAGAAGAAACAAGTGACAATCTCGAAATTCTTTGCATCAAAAAGTGCGAAAAATGACTCTGAATTGGTAATTATAGACAATTCTTCAAGGGAAGGAAGTGCCGATGAGAAAAAGGTTAGGATGAATTACTTTTATTCTATTGTTGTTTTATTTTTATATGAAGGAAAGTATTAAAATTGAGGGTAAGCAAAAGAGCATGTGAAAGATCAAAGAGTGACGAGTGTACATTGTACATTTACAATCAGGTTTGGTACTCGACTTCTCAAGACTTAATTAAATACGTAACTATTTCTTGGTACGTTATGGCTGAATGCACTTATCAACTTTACAAAGTCGCTTTCCAATAGAAAAATCGAATTTGTGTGTTTTACTTTTATGTTTGAAAATCCAATCTATCTATTTTCATTATTGTGGCAGGGTTCAATTGTACATAGGATTAAGGTCGCCTTCTAGCTTCGAGCTAGAGGGAATTTCCCTTTAGCTCAATGGTAGAGCGTCCGAATAGGAACCTGGAGATTGAGGGTTCGATCCCTGGTGAAAGCACGTCATTATTCTCTTTCTGTTACAAATGGTGTCCGTGGCCCTCCCTGTGGTGACAGGGAGTTAGAACCTGGGTTGTGGTGTTCGAGGGCGAATACATTTAAAAAGGTTGGAGTAGTGTGGTAGGGCTCCATCCCCGGTGGAAGCACACTTTTCTCTTTCCTGTTACATTATAAACAACAGGTTTCTCTGTGTTCAATGTGAGGAATTGCTTCAAATGTCGTAAAAAGTGTCAAATACCAAAACTGTACGTGCTACTAGAAGTTTATTATTAGCTCAATTGATGTAGCCATTTTCGATGTTAGGTGATCATGAACTAAAAAAAATTGTCCATGCATGACAACTGAAGATCATTCAACTCCAGCATAACATATGAAGAAATCTAGCAAATGCGAGACAAATTAGATGCATTCCGCTTTAAATAACACTGAATAGCTTCGACTGAAATGCTCATTTTACAATTCACAAAACACATTCATAATTGGAAATCCTTTTATTAGTAAATGACCTATTAAAAGTTGAATGTAAGTATTTAAATTAGATTGATTAGTTTTACCTATGTGTCAATTACAAATATATTGTTCCTTCCTTGTATGAAAATTCATTTTTTTATACATTGTATACAGTAAAATTTCATTTAGTTAGCTTAATTGACCTGGTCAACTCAGTTGCCATTTACAAATCCCTCTAATGTATTAATTAAATAAAACAACATTAACAGCAATAATAATATTAGGTGGTGAAATGCACATTATTAAAGTTTCCATGAAGACCGTCAGTGTTCAGTTCCCTGATCACCTGAAATAAAAAGGTATGTATTTATATGTAGTTACCTGCCTGACCATGTAGGATTTCTCCAGGTACTTAAATTTCCTCCCACATTAAGACACCCTGCACACTGCTATCTGTGCCAATAAGACAGATTACAATTTGTATAGGTTGATTCAACTTGATTATAGAACTTGTTTCATAATTGTTGCAAAGTAAATAAAGTTCAACAGCTAAACTATGCCTCCACTGTTCTATATATGTATACCAGGTATACTTGGAAACTCATACTGGCTATATTGTTGTTATGATAATGGACTCTTATAAACTGTACAGAGTCTGCATTTTTACACGAAAGAACATGATGATGAATTAAAAAAAAGGTTAAGGGAGAATACTTTTAAAGTCTATGACTCATGTTTGTGGTAAATAAATCTTATCAAAAGAGGATTGATTGCATTAAATCTGACACATTAGCAAGATCTTGTGTATTTCTGTTGTGTTGAAGGTTTCGTCAACAATAAAGAAACGACGTAGGAAAAAGGTGAACGATTCTGATGACAACAGGTCTAAAAAGCAGTGTTTAGATGATGGAGGGGCTCAATTTTCTGAAAAAGAAGCAGAAACAGGACCATCTTCTGTCATCAAAGTCGACAGGCTACGGACAGATGAAGCTTCAAATGGTGAAAAGTCGACAGAGCGTGAGAAAAATGATTCAAGGTCCCATTGTATTTCACCAGGGGTAGAGCATGCAACCTCACTGAGTGAGAATACAAAACACAAATTGCAGCAGTTTGAATCCAGCGTTAATAAAGATGGAGATTCAAATTCAGGAGAAATAATAAGTATATCAGAACTAAAACGTAACAGAAACTTACCTGATATTTCTTCAGTTTCAAGTAGTTTATCTAAAGAAAATGACTTGGAAGCAAGCAAGACTTCAGATAGTGATGACGAATACAACGCACCAGGCACTTCAAAATCTATGCCAGCAAGTTCTACGTTGACAAAGATCATTCGTAAAAGTAGTTCTACTTTTGCAAGTAACTCCACTTTTGCAAATAAAACTACTAAAACCCCGACATCTGCAGGTAAGAAGGGCAAGTACACACCTCTGGAGCAACAATTTGTGGACATCAAAGACAAATGTCCACACGCTGTGTTGTGTGTCGAGTGTGGATACAGATACAGATTCTTTGGACAAGACGCAGAGGTAAATAAGTTATGTACAGCCTTAGGGACTGTTCCTTTAAAAAACTTCTCCACCCAATTGTAGGTTTCTTGTTACATAATGTCATAAGTAATGGAAACCAAAAAGAATCCCCAAAAGGATTTAATTTTGACTTCTACATGTAACTAGTACACGAAAGTTTTCTGTCTGAATGGAGTATAGTAACTGTGATTTATGTTTAGGTTATTATGTCTCCTCAAATGAAAGGAGACATATTGCAATAGTACTTGTTCACCTTCTAATAACGACTTTAATAATCCAGGCTGTTAATTCAATCTGTATCTGGATAAAAATCAAAGTGAACTATTTTCACCTAAAGAATATGTGCAGTATATTGTCTTTGTGACCTTCACTTCAAGGTAAGGTCAGATAAGTGCCAAATTTTCAAACCATAAAAGATATTTTGAAGAAACTTGAACAATATTTGCATCACCAAAAGTATGCAGTGCACTATATTAAGGTTACGGTGACCTTCACTGTCAGGTCAGAGGTCAAATAAGTTTGAAGCAAATTTGTTCGTTTGTGGTTAAGTTCAGACAATTATCTTTTTGCTCGCAAAAACAAATCTCTAGTTTCCCGTAAAAGTACAAAAATAGCATCAGCCAAAATTGTCAAACTTTCTGTCTAGCATGAAGGATCAATTTATATACTACGAACGATTATTACATTTTTGTTTTGAAGATTGCAGCTGAAGTTCTAAATATATTTTGTCATCTTGACCATAACTTCATGACTGCCAGCATCCCTACTCATCGACTCTTCGTCCATGTCCGGAGGCTGGTTGCTGCGGGTTACAAGGTTTGTATATTATTATGGAAAATAAAATTGTTTTCTATGATCCTACTTACTTTTCACCTGTTGTAAGTACAGAAAATGTATTATTCTTTAATTAACCAGATTTGTTTACTTAGCGAAAACAGATAACACTCAAGTATGCAGTCAATAATAACATCAAGGTAGGTTTGAATCATGCAAAAAGTTTCATTAAAGGGAGACAACTCTTAACAAGAATTACTTGTATTTGATATAAGGTAATTAGCAAGGTAACATCCATCATAACATAATCCAATGGATTTTTTTTTAATATATTTCTTTCAGGTGGGAGTTGTTAAACAGATGGAAACTGCAGCTTTAAAAGCAGCAGGGGATAATCGAAGTGCACCATTTACTCGAGAGTTATCTGCCCTTTATACAAAATCAACATTGATTGGAGAAGGTAGGTATCTTCATGGGCGTTTTTGAAAACTATGATAGTTTGACAGGGGTTTTAAAAATTCTTTTCAAATTTATAAACTTTCTAAATGTTTCAAAGAGATATAAGCAAATATTTTCTTTAAATGTATTTATTATTTGATGTATCAAATACATTAATTATCAAATGACATTTATTTACCGTCTAATTTTTCATCCTGAAAAAGTGAACGTTTATCATCAATTCACATTCAAACATAAACATAAATTTTCCTTGCCTTGACTGTTAAATTAATTCTTCCTATAGTAGTTTTATGGCAACTCATTTTTTCATTTAAGCTGAAATATAAATAAAGTTAGGTAATCATAATATTTCATCATTAGATTTCCTTCATTCTTTATATTAGAGAATTGTTTTTGTTAATTTTAATAAAAAAAGATGCAATATTAAGGAAAAATATTTTAAAAAATTGGAAACTTTATTAAACTAACCAAGCTTGAAAAGATGAGAAAATATCATGTATTCCATCTATGCATGGTTTTGACAGATGTGAACCCACTACTTAATGTGGAGGACACTGGAGATTCTTCATGTGGTACCAGTACTTCCTACCTCATGTGTGTGTATGAAGCACCACCGAACAAAAACAGCAAACAGCATACCACTGCCATCTTTGTAAGTATACCACTGCCATCTTTGTAAGTCAGCCATGGTTTCTCTCTCTCAGAAGAATTTGTTTAATTTTTAATATGAAAATATTATCAATATTAAATATTTGGTTTGGTTTGTTATTGTTTTACATCCTAGCTGTTAACAGCTATGGTCATTGAAGGACGTGGATGGAGGAAAGCCAGAGTTCACGTAGAAAAACCACTGACCTACGGCCAGTACCTGGCGACTGCCTCACGTACGCCTCGAACCCACGACCCAGTGGTTGATGGCTATAGTGGTAGCAGAATGTCAAGACGCCTTAACCACTTGGCCACCGCAGCCCCTACATATATTAAATGTTATTTACTTCTTTTGTAGTTAACTTGTATTTGCTGATGTATGGTTTATATATTTGTTATGTGTCGCTGTTACAGACTAGGATTGTGTATGTACCTTGTAGAATCAAGTATTTCCTGTTTGTCCAATAATAATTTTTCAGATATTGATCTTTTTGCTACTTACTATTTTATACATTTTTACACCTGTCTTGTATGATCCTGCGTGACGTATGCATTATTCACCAAGTTTAGGGGCCATTGAAACTTTAAATCTAGATTATTAATTTTTGGTGAAATAGGATTCCAAAAGAGAAACTGTTTTGATAATAAACCTATCCATACACAGGCTATTCAGCCCTCCACTGGGGACGTTGTGTATGATAGCTTTGAGGACAATGCCATGCATGGAGAACTAGAGACTCGGTTGTTTCACATTCAACCATCAGAAATCCTCATCTCTGATGACCTGCACGAGGACACAGATAACTTTATACAGCGGCTAGCGTCCATCAGGTAATGCAAATACAGAAGAGGATAATATATTGAAAGACACCTGCTTCATTCTTGATTCATTATTATCTTGTCTTTCCAATTCAAAAAAGAAGTATTGGTATATTAACTTGACATATTCATTTCTTTCAGTTGCTGTAAGTTGAAATTTAACTGCATTTTGAAAAGTCAACACATTGTTTTAGCACAAAAATAAAGCAAAATGATTACTGTACATTAAGCAAAAACAATGTTTTCCCAATTTAATTGTTTTGTTTCATGAAGAGAAAATATAGCTAGGTAGTAATGGTACATCATACATCCCTCAATGCTATTTCCTAAAGAAGACATTGTTGTGTTAAGATAAATCTGACATCTTTCATATATTACCAGACTAATAAATCTAACTTACATGTGAACAATTCCCAATAGATTTTTTTATTGGTGATTTAACAGCTGCACACCTGATGACCGTATGAGAGTAGAGAGGATAGACGGCCAACAACTAGAGTACAACACTGCCTTCCAGACTGTCTCCAAATTCTACACAAATGAAAACATAGCTGGTAAATGAACATGTTTTTCTAAATGGATACTTTGTTTACCAAAAATATGAAAGAAAAAAAACAAGAATAATGATGAAAAGAATTTGTGCAGTAAAGAGTTTTGCAAAGAAAACAAATCTGGTTCTCAGGTTATCAGTATGATAATGATAATATGTACCTGGTAGTTCTCTGGATTGATGAAATATTTTCCTACACTTAATTAGACAAATTGATCTTGATTGTTAAAAATGTGCTCAAATTTGGAGGAACATCTTTCATGACTTTCAAAATCATATATGAGAACAACCTCACCATTGTGCTATGAAGTCATCCTAATCTTTTGCCTGTAGGAATCAGCCTTCTACAGGAAGTCCTAAGTCTGCCACGTCCAGTCATTTCCTGTCTGGCCGGAACAATCTCCTATCTATCTGATTTCAACCTGGACAAGATCCTTACACTGACCAGGTAGTTCAGTCAAACTTGTAACTCAGAACACCTACCTTGTTTTATCATTTAGTAGATATTTTGAAAATATAATTGCAAGATGTGGTGAGTTTACATGTTAATCAATATGTGATACCAATTTCATTCGTATTTGTGATATTTGCGTGTTACCAGATCTGTCCTGCTATACTCTCACCTTGAGGTCGTCTAAGACGGACCCATTCGGCAGAGGAGTAGATATTAATATTTATGAAAATAGCGTTTTAAAACCCGTGTCTACTATGAGTACATACTTAAATCTTAGGGTATCGTCAGGTGCTATTCCTTCATCTCCTTTGTTTGTAGACCAGGTTCACCTTTCTAAACCTCTTATGCGTCATGCGTTTATAGCTTATTTAAAGGAGACATTGTCTCGGATTGGCATTGCTAATCAGCCCTTTAATGGTCATTCTTTTCGTATCGGAGCCAGTACCTCAGCCGCTGCAGCTGGGGTAGAAGATCATGTTATACAGACGCTTGGTAGGTGGTCATCTGATTGTTTCATACGTTACATTCGTATAGATCCTGCTACTATCTGTCGAGCGCAGCAGAAGATGTCCTCCCGATCTTAGGACAGCATTGTTGTTTCGCTTTTGTTTTGCCTGCGGCAGATAATTATGATTTCCAGTTCTTTATTGGGTTTTAGATATGACTACCAAATGTTTTAATGGTTTTAAGATCCTTTATGTTATATTATTATTTTATTGGGGGCTTTCACTCTATGTTGAAACATATAGTCCATTTTTGGCATTTAATTCTAGGGGAATTCTACCCCCAATCTCATAATAATAATATTATAGTATTTTACGACAGTATGTTTCAGCTTCTCTCATATCGTTAAGGGTCTAGCTAACATATTCGGCTTCTCTCATACCGTTGAGGGTCTAGCTAGTCGTTGAATATTATATTTCTCATGCAGCTTCTCCAGGGTCGCTCGCAGAGTCTAGTAGCTTCTCTGGAATTGTCCAGGGTCTAGTTGCTTCTCTGTATCTTTGGAGTCTTGCTCGGTCATGTAGCTAGCTACTCTGGGACACCTCAGAGTCCAGATTCTTTAAATTTTAAAATATTCCATTAGTAAGTTTAGTTGTTTTGGTATAGAGTGAGTAGCACCTGATACGCCAAACTTGTAGCTTGTATGTATTATAACTGTAGTGTAATAAACAGGTTAAACTGTTCTTGCGTGTTTCATTAAATGAAAATAAGTGTAAATCATTAAACTTATTTGTTTTCAGCAACTTTACACAGTTTTCTGTGAAGTCAAAGTTTATGCAGCTTCCCGGTAACACAGTTCGAAATCTGGAGATGTTCCAGAACCAGACCAACGGAAGTGAAAGAGGATCCCTGTTTCGGGTTATGAACCAGACCGTATCCAGGTTTGGTGGACGAATGCTTCGGATGTGGCTCAGTAGACCTCTACTCTCAGCATCGTGAGTCTATTGTGGGGAGGTACTTCTTAATCAGAGAGCTGCTGTCAGAATTAGGGTATACTATTACTGGAAGCAAGGACATAGCAGAGGAAGGGATTTTCAGAAGAGGATATAGATAAAGAGGGAAGGAATTTTAGCAGAGGAGTAAGATATGGGGGGAAGTCATGGAGTTAATTGGAGGGTGTGAGTAAAAGGGGGAGAAATGTGCATCCACTGAAGGGAGTTTAGATAATTTAGTGGGCAGGAGGGGGTGTAGTATTTACCAGGTTGTTAGCAATGAAATTTTGATTGAAAAATACAATGAGAAGTATGATTAATTTGAATAGTTTGTTATTGTAATGTTACTGCGGTGTTATGTGTACTATACCTTGTAGGGAAATCAAACAGAGGCATGCAGCAGTCCAGGATCTAATCGATGGACCATGTGCTGAAACTATGGCCAAACTACGGGCAATCCTCGGCAAAAGTCCCGATCTGGAAAAGGGACTTGCTTCTATCTATCACAAAAAAGTGTGTATAACAGGGTACTGAAAATTACTATAGAATCTTGTTATCTTTGGCCATTTGATTCTCCAAAAAATATCCTGAAGAATGCAAAGACACTAATATGGTTTTTTTTTAATAAAAATTAAAAATATATTTATCATGACTGAAGAGTGTGTCATTTACCACTCTTGTGTTAACTTAATATTTGTAAACAAAACTTTGGCAAGATATACAGACTTAGTCATGTAAAGTGCTATTAAAAATTTGTATCTCCATTGCAAGTGTATGAGTAGTGTTAAAAATCAAATACAGTGAAATATACTGTTCTTTAAGATGTGCTGGTGTTCAAAGGTTCAAAGGGGGCATAAATAATCATGTAATAAGCTCAAATCTTAGTTCCAGGATAAGAGCCAATGTCGTTTTTCTTATTTAGGTTCAGAGGTTTCCGTCTATATCATTTGCTTGGCTACCACCCAGTATGCAGGGCGATTGAAGAATAGGGGAAACTAAGTATACAGACCTGCTAACCCCTGAATCTCCCAATGGGGGTCATGACCCCCATTTGGAAATTTTGTGGGGGGTGATAACGCGCGACAAAAAAATAACGTCAGAACTAATCAGTTAATTTTCGCGCTGTCACGGCATAACATATGTAATTGTGTCTTCTGGTAGGATTTAAGACTTTTTTTTTAAATAAATAAAACAAATCTTTTCACACGTTATGTTTTATTACATTCTCTCTTTTCAAAATACTTATTTCCCTGTACATACAGGTAGTTTGAGTTAATTGTAGAAAACTTTGCATCTTTCATCATTGATGCATACTGGGAGCATGAACTCATCTAGAAGCTCCTCTATCTATTTCTCTCCCTCATCTTTATGTACTACATTGGGAATCTGACTGCCTGCAGGTTGGAAACTGGAAAAAATAAAATATGCATTTAATGTTAAATACAGGTATTTATAATATTGGTATAATAATATCTTGGTACACTCAAATTTGTACGACTGCAACAAATTTTAAAGCAATCTCGCGATCGATATCGGGAAGCATTATCATGCAGATTTTGGTAAATTAAAATAATCATGATCTGCCGTTGAGAAAGTAATGTGCTCAGAATTTAAGCTACTAAATAACGACTTTGCGTTTATAACCACAGTTCGTGAAAATTGTTCACGTATGTCTGTTGATGTAATAAAGAAAACACCCGAACCTGCCGAAAGAATTTAAATTAGGTATACAGTAGAGTACAGTTTACAATAAGAATGATTGATCGGGCTCAAAATTTTGTTTATGAAGCCACTCAAAATCATTTTTTCCACGATATTATGTTATAGCAGACATACTTATCATTTTTTCTAACGTTTAACGCAGTCCGGATTACGGTTGTGCATGTGTAGTGAAAGTCCTACGATCGGGATTCCATGCACTGTTGTAATACTGTAGTAAACAGTACTCACCTTTCAAATTTGCCTGGCTTCCACGAGAGACCGCCATTGTGAAAACATTTCGAATTGTGTACAGACTTCATCCATCCCTGAATGCTAAACCTCCGAGACACACGAATGGAGCACTTCCGGAAAATAGGGAGATATTAATACGAGCGCGGAGGCAGGTGATTCCGCGTCATGTGGACGGAATACGGGAGATTTGTATGACCCGCGCGGGTCATGAGTTGGTCGCGGGTGATAGGTTAATTTTGCGGGTGTGACCCGCAAGATGCGGGTCATTTAACAGGTATGAGTATAGAATTTTGCAGTCAATCGCTGCAAGCTCAGGATAAGTTGAGATCAAAACCTAATTTAGAGTGGGATTCTTGATGTCCAGTATACACATGTTATTCTTTATTTATCTGTCATTATACTGGTTATTTGTGACCTGTTTAATAAGAAACATGTAATTTTCTAAAATCCAGTGTAGCGTTGTCGAGTTTTACTTAGTATGTAAAGCACTCAGCCAACTACAGAAGGATGTCCAGCTTCTGGCTAGATCACAGTGTCCACAGCTAAACTCTCACCTTCTGAAGACAATCTTGACCAGTGTGCCTGACCTTCTACAGGACGCTGAATCATTTGTGTCATCCATCAGGGAAAAGTCGGTCAGGTGGGTACAACTTCTAAATGGTACTGACCAACTTCAACTTCAACAATTTGAAGATAATGGCCACAAGAAAGGTTGTGGCGATTAAAATATGCATCACCAGGTTTACTAAGAATGTTTCACTGTGTGAATCCTCATTGCAGATTAAAACATACAAATAAAATACATCTTGCAGTATGACAAGTATCTTTTGAAACAGTAAATTTAACTGTTTTGTTTTTCACGCTTCAGAGATAATGAAAAGACACAGTTATTTGCGGATGAGGGTAAATTCCCTTTAATACCAAAGGGGAAACAGGCCATACAGGAAGTGATGTCAGAGATTCAGGCCCACAGACGTGAGGTCCGCTTGGTTCTACGACTTCCTGCACTCGAATATGTCACTGTCATGGGAACAGAGGTAAGTGGTTAGAATCCCACACCTGTTTCTGTCTAGTTTTGATCAGTGAACTGAATTTGTTTAATTTCATGAAGCTAATGTTGTGGTGTAAATTAAAGCCGTTCAATATTTGTTATTCAATAGGATCTCTCATCTGTTCCTCTCAACTATTTATTTTAAACATATATTTGGTGGTATTTCTAGCTTTTTGGACAGTCAGAACTGAGATATTGTTATCTATTATTTTTATGACAAAATGTTTCTTTATACTGCAGTTTTTGATTGAGGTGAAAAACAATTCCGTCCACTTGGTACCGAAGGATTGGATTAAAATCAGCAGGTAATAAATATTTCAGTTACATCTTACAGTTTTTCTTTTAAAAATGTTCCCATTAACTTTATTTCGCAAATTATGACTAAGTTAAATTTGTGAATTCTGGAATTTGCGAGGTGATACTAATTCGATTTTTGAATGAATAATTGGGAAAGAATTAATTTGCAAATGAATCTCCTTGTGAATAAAAGCAAAAATTAATCTCGAGCAAAAATTAAGTTATATGCAGACAACATTATGAAGATTAATGACCACCATTATTACCATGGCAATTTAGACAGTTTTCTTCCTATATTTTATTACCAGGTTTGTGGACTATTTACCGAAGTAGATTACATGTTAGTAGATTTTTAGTCCCCTACTACATAAAACTGGTAAAACTGCAGAATTGCACTTCATCCTATATTTCATCAGTCTGTCTCTTCCTCCTATCAAAAATATAGAATCGTTAACTACTGAACATTTTTTTTTGTAAAACTTCATTGTTGTGTGATGACTACATAGTTTACCTCTAAGGTACAGAGCCCACTTGTATAAAACATCTTTACTCTTGAGATTTCCTCAAGTCCAAGATTTCCCATAGACAATACCTTGCTTGAGATTTTCCTTAACTTTGAGATGTTTTATACAAGAGGGTTGAGGTCATGCCTAAGGTAAAGGTCATCCCCAAGGTAAAGGTCATCACCAAGGTAAAGGTCATCCCCAAGGTAAAAGTCATCCCCAAGGTAAAGGTTATGCCTAAGGTAAAGGTCATACCTAAGGTAAAGGTCATCCCCAAGGTAAAGGTCATCACCAAGGTAAAGGTCATCCCCAAGGTAAAAGTCATCCCCAAGGTAAATGTTATGCCTAAGGTAAAGGTCATCCCCAAGGTAAAGGTCATCACTAAGGTAAAGGTCATCCCCAAGGTAAAGGTCATCCCTAAGGTAAAGGTCATCCCCAAGGTAAAGGTCATCCCTAGGCCTGAAACATCTAGTTAATAGCAAATGTCAAATCGTATTGTTGTTTGTTCGACAAATAACTTTCAAACAACTACCGTAAAAACCCATGTAATTTGCGCACTTTTTTTTCAGAAATTTTATACCCAAAGTGGGGGGTGCGTAAAATACACAGGTATAGAAAAATTCAAGTTTTTTTCAGGAAAAGATCGACGATTCTGAGAGATCGCCATCTTGGATTATGTCCCTTGGTACACAGAACTCTAAGACAAATGACGATCAACAAATTTATTTATGTCAAACATTAATAAAAGATACATAATATGTTGTTATGTGAGTTTATGTGAAAAGTATTAATAAATAGGTAACCGTTAACAAAAAAAGTTTAGCCAAATTCCTATGCCAGAGAATCGCCGATCAACTTACGACATTACGTTTCGACATCTCGGTGCATTTCCCCATACTATTACGAAAATGTAGTTGTTCAATTTAAGCTCCGTTCTATGTAAGTTCTGTAAGTTTTTTC